TAGTTTTTAAAAAAGCATTAACACAGATCTAATTTAAAATCTTAACTGAAGCAGGATTTTTAAAACACCTTTGACACATCGACACATCTGTTTTCCTAATCACACAGGGTTATCCGTGTGAACTTCTGGCACTGACAGTGGCAGGGATTCCGTCGATGCACATCTGTCTGGATTTCATACCGGAGCTCATTGCCCAGCCTGAACTTGAAAAACAGGTACTGTACAGTCATCTGGTTTGGGAATCACTGATGAAGTATTGGTTAAGGGGAGAAAATAAAAGGATCACTAAAAAAAGTCCTGTTCTAACTTGCCTTGGATATTAAGCTAATATATGTAGCACTTTTACCTTAAATTAAAGGTCCAGCCTTTAAATCCCCTTCAAATCAGGGATTGTTACACTAACACTGGTACTTGATTAATGTTAAATATGTGTGAGGTGTTTTTCTTAATGTCTGCAGAAAAAATTCAGAGTAACTATTACTAAGGCTTCTCTGGCTTTCATTTCCTCATTGGTAAAATAGAGAGTATGTACTAACTCATAACTTACTTATGAAGAGCTTTTGAAAGTGTAAAGCAAAGTGTAACTTTATTGCTTATTTACCTTTTTCCTTTCACCTACTTCACAGATATTTGCCATCCAACTACTTTCATTTTTGTGCATCCAGTATGCACTACCTAAATCTCTCAGCGTGGCTCGTTTAGCTATCAATGTGATGGGAACCCTACTCACAGGTAAGCACTCCAGCAACTCCTGAACACATTGTTGTGTAAATTAGTATTATTTGTTTCGGTTGAATGCAGTTTGGTCTAAATGCCACTGTGTTAATTATGATTGTAAAAGTAACAATAAATCTTTCCTGGATTTCTATAATAAGTCCTTCTTACTTAACCATTTCTTTTTCCTTGATAGTTTTAACCCAGTCGAAGCGCTATGCTTTTTTTATGCCGACCCTGCCTTGTTTGGTGTCATTCTGTCAAGCCTTTCCTCCTTTGTACGAGGATATTATGTCTCTGCTGATACAAATAGGACAAGTTTGTGCCTCTGATGTTGCTACACAAACAAGAGACTTCGACCCAATTATTACTCGTAAGTAAAGCACCTTGTATTTCAAAAGTAACGTCGTGGTCTGAGGGAGAAAATTATGTTGGTGTTTCAAAAGTTTTGAGCGTAGTTGGAATGCAGTGTGACATTTACTGCTATTGTGTTGTATAGATGGAAAGAACAGGGATAGGTGGACTTACTGGATTGGAGGAGAGAGTTCAGAGGTCAAAGGGGCTGAAAGTACCCCTTTCATTAAGCTTCAATACTGCCTGCCTTCTGTTGTATTTCCCTGCTTGTATCATTTTAAGATGTATCCCTGCATGCAGGTGTTGTGCATAGAATTTGCTGTTGTAATCTAAGGATGAAAGACATGAGCAAAGGCCATTGGCTTTTGAGAACACAAGGATATTTCAACCCCTCAGTTGAGGCATAATGGCCGTATAAATCTTCCTGATCTGTTGGAAATGCAGTCAAATGAGCTACCTGAAGTCTTACACATTGTAGTCTCTCTAGAAGTAACCTGTGGAGTTAAGCCTGGTGCATGAAATAGTGATGGTTCAAATTTGCAATTTCATAGCATACATGTTTGTGTCATGGGTGTAATATAACAGGTTTTTAAAATGATTTATTTATTTAAATGTACTTTGCTGCTTCTACTTAATTTTCTAGGTCTCCAGCAACTAAAGGAGAAACCACATGAAGTATCAGGACTTTGTAAAGATTCACCTAACAAAAGTTGTTCACAGGATATTGCAAGCATGGACCCTGATGTTCGGTTATGCCAGTGTGTTGAAAATACTATCATTGAAATAATTAACATGAGTGTAAGTGGAGTTTAGGAAGAATGCAAATGAAATTGTACCGTAGCTCGTCCCATGGTCTGTGGTGCCTAAATTTGGAGAAAGCTGCGAAAGTGGACTGAGGAACTGGAGCAGAAGAAGTCCATGTTTTTCATTCATTTGCTACAGTTATGGTTGAAAAAATTCTTTAAAGAGGCTTTTATTGCTTCCAGTGAAAACTTTTGAGGCTGATGGGGTCAGTAAATAATTTTCAGTGAAACCAAGTGTGACTTTCAGGCTTGCTCAGTTTCCAAAGTGATACAGCAACACACCCGAAAGGGTTTTATAATACACTGAAAAGTGAATACTAGATTGGTTGAGCAAACAGCAAAATGGTAAGAAAAATTTGAGATTGAAGCGCTTTGCTTAAGTTAAATTAACTACTGTTCCAGAGCCTTGCAGTGCAAGATGGAATAAAATACTCCAAGGGAGACTTGAAAAAGCGGTGTAAGTAACTTGCACCATCACACTGAGTATTAAGAAAATGCTTTAACTTTTTTTTACTTGTGTTTCAAAACATTAGTCAGAGTTTCAGTTCATGAGATTACAATCTTCATTTCAACATTGCCCAGCCTTCATTAAGTTTGACCCTGGTCTAAAAGTTTATTTAAAAAAAAGCCCTACTACAAAATAAGCTGTATAAATATGATGTTTAAATAATGTGTATTTTTAATGCAGCTCAGATGGTTTAGTATTTTTTAACATCACTTAGTTTAAAAGAGATGAGAAAATCTTCAAGAAAGAAGTGCGAAGGTATCTTAAGTTGTCATCAGGAAAAGATTTTTAAAAAATGTGTTGAGGGTGACTGTGACAGAAACTGAATTTCCCCATAATGAAAGGAAGGACAGATTTCAGCCATACCAAAGTGGTTCCATGCAGCTCAGGGGCTGAGAAGGCCGACTCCTTTGTGCCTCACGTATTAAGTTGGTTGTTCTTTCATATACAAAAGCTTCAGGATTTAGCCTGGACAGAGGTGTTCTGTGGCATTGCAGAAGGGTGTGTGTAGTGCAGTATTTAGGAGTTTCTTGGAAGGTTGCACAAGCTCTTATGTGAGGCAGCACGTGCGTTTGTGACAGACAATTAAGGTTTAGCTGTCATGCCAGAAGTGAACACAGTACTTCAACACACTTGAATTGCTAAACTTATCAAGCAGCACTTACTCTTTAAAAGGACAGTGTCCAGGGTCCTTAAATAAGTAAATATTTCTCAGTTAAAACTAGTTTATATTGCAGAAATTAATGGTCTGATTCCTTAGCGTGGCCTTGGGACAATCTGGCACAGCCTGTTGCCTGCCCCTTTGGACAGTGATTGAGGAAGGCTGATCCCGAACTGCCAAACCCCCGCCTGCCGCAGCCCTCCCATCGCACCATCTGACTACTCAGGAGATTTTTGTCATCTTGATATAAAGTATGTAAATAATATAAATGTATGTATTTTTTTTTTCCTCTGTTCTTAGTGTAATTTTATATGCTGTAGTGGTATTTAAATA